GCTCATAGCCACCAGCCTGAGATCCCATATATACTGAAAACCAGCACTACTAACATCATGTAATATCGAGAATGACAAAAAATTGAAGAACAATTTGCACAAACTCAAATACAAAAATAGAAAATGGCAAAAACGCACTACAGAAAAGAAAAATATAAGGAGCACAACGGGTAAGAATATGAAAATTCTAATGATGAAATGCCGACAATACCAAAATTACTGATCGGGAATCTACGCGGTGGGAAAAATGACCAGACATTAAAACACATGCATGAAATATGTGAGGTGGTGTCGGTTGCTAGAACGGCCTTTCCTTCACAAATAAAGCGAGAAGAAAGCTAATGGAACAAACAACTAAAAAAACCGACACCAAATCAATTGAGATTTCGACGCGATGTGACGCCATGATCATAACTGTCACAAACCTTCCTCTATTATATAAGACACTAGATTCTACGTACAAATCCACAAGGTCACCGGGTGAATATTAATTGATTCCACTAGAACGTGTGTTGCCCATAAAGCAAAGAGAATACGGTAAATGCTCAAGAACCAATTTTAAAAATAAACAAAGATGGATCAGCCCATTCTTAGATTCACTAGAACATATTAGGTAATAAATGAATTACTAGCCCAAAGTTCCTGCCAACGTTGTTAGATCAGAAGCCCTTGAAAAGCGTGTGTCGCCGCATTTCTGCAACTCTAAACCCTTCTGAACAACTCCTGATCAGAACGTTCCTTTTTTACCTCCACCAAAGTCTTTTGTCCCTATAGCAGCGGTTATTGCAATCATTTCAGCTTTTCCACCCTTATTAACTGAAAACCATACCATGAGAAGCGCGAGAGTCGCTCTCGTATTGAAGACGGCTGAACATGATAGGTTCTTATCTGAGATTATGGTCTGCACTATCAATAAAAACCATGTGTTGACGTTGTTATGACAACCAGTGGTGGATATTCGACAACAAAAACTGATAATTTTCCAGTATAACAGAATACAAATTAGGCATCACCGTCTTCAAATGACCTGTGCAACATCTGAAGGAAACATAACTGCTTTCATTATAATTTCAAAATCTGATCCAATAAAAGGGAACACTCTGGTGCAATAGCTCGGGCCCACTATAGTTATCCCAACTTTCGCAGTGGAAGGTAGTTCCAGGATGGCAGAACCATTTCGTTTGCACAAAGAGGGAAGTATGCGAGACGTCTCGGGAAATCTTAAATCGTGAAGCCAAGCAAATCAGCTCTTCGTAGTGCTTTCTGGGAGCTCTCACACATGAACACTAGTACAGCATCTCTGGTTCCTTTATTCATAATAGGTTTAGACTGGTGTCAGAGTACGCGATTCGTCGCGCGATTCGCGCGAATCGCAAAAATCGCAAGTGCCCCATTTGAACATTTGAAACACTGAATATGAAACAAGTAGAATCATGAACAGTCGTCATTCAACCATCACCATCAAGCAGAAAGTGGCGACGAGATTGGCTCGATCGGGGCAGTTGTGATTTCTGTGATCCGTCGCGCGACGGATCGCGAACTCTGACACCAGTGTTATTCCTAGTACAACGCAAAGCGTATGCTTTTCCATCCACTCTTTCACCCTTTGGTTGACAGAGGCCTCGTAACCGTAACCAGGCAGGTCCCTCTTTCGGAACTTTTATAAAGAAAAGAGATGTTTGTAGTGGTCAGAAGTGTTGGGTGTTCTGCAAAAAATGCTGCTGGCAAAGGTAGGCAAACTTTGCAAATGCTGCAGCTCGAGTGTGGAGCATGTACGTATCAATCATACAATCGTGAATGTGTGATCGATACCTATC